CCCCCCCCCCCCCAAAAAAAAAAAAAAAGACACAGAAAGAGCACGAGTGAGTGAGCATGCAAGTGTAGGAAACAGCCAATTAAGAAATTCAGATAACTCTTCATAGGCTGACTTCCCTGGTACTATCAGGGACCCCACAGCTGCAGGAGAAGTTCCATACATGGGTAAACATCCAACTTCCACAAGTTATGAATCTAAAGTTTACCCTTGGTAACATAAAACAAAAATGGAAGCCTTCTGAAGTCTTGATGCAAGTAATCAGTAGATACCTGGTACCTTTATGACCTGCCTTTTACTCCTTCTGTCTCTTCACAGATCCCACTGAGCCCGGCAAATGGAAGTTTCTTCATTAGCCAGCATTCCTTTTCAGAAAGTTGGAAGACTTTCTCAGAAAAGAGCATCCCTGGAAGATCATGGGGATCTTCCTTTGCAGTTGTTTCACTACCCTTTCCTCCACAGTTTTGTGTAAATGGTTCAGTCATCCATCTTCTCTATGTCACCATGAATAAGACTCCAAGTGGGTAAACTGACTAATAGCAATTTCCACAACTTTACCAACACTGACCACCTACTGATGGTCCTGGCAGACAGGAATTTCTGCCAATAAAAATATACCACAGAACTGGCAAAATGTGAGTTTTTTCATTCCCAGTAGGTGCCAATGGATATTATATGCTTTGTTACTAATGGATTTAAGTAACTAAATTAACACTTTAGAGTGAAAGCTTGGTCTAACCTTCTCCTGCAGCATCCAATTCTGAGATACATTGAGAAAAAGCTACAAAAACATATAAAGAGTTTAAAGAAAAAGCTGTTCATACTGAATCAGATGGAGCGTGTTAACAACTTTTGTGTATATGTACCTATCTGTTCATTCAACCTCTAGCTAATGAGGTATAAAGAAAAGAGTTGTATTGGATCATTTAAGGTAAAGAGTTCTCAAGCTCAATCTACATAGGAACTTACACTGAAGAGCCATTTTAACTACATCTTTTTGACGAATGTAGAAAAATACCACACATACAGTAATCTAAAGGTGCCTAACACGACATATTTCCACTACTTTAACTTCTCATACATTGGAAAGAATAAAACCAAACAGTAAGAAGATTTCAAAACTAAAAACGGAGCTAAAAAAGGAGGATGTTGTTTACACTAAACTTCAAGTTTAGTTACTCTAAAAATTGAATACTGCTCTTGTCTCAGTAGACAAGCTTTATGCATTCCATTGCTTGTTAGATCTCTATTTAATCTCAAATCTACTGTACAAATTACCAGTTGAGATTACAGTTGTGACAATGTCTTACTGCTGACTTAAAACATTCCCCGAATACAATTCACAAACAGCACAGCAACTTTAGTCCTTGTGTATGGACAAACAAGTTTACTTTTGGAAGTTTACTTTTGGTACTTCAATATCCCTGGTACAGTCTTCTGGGAAAGGATAAAGACAATCATCTTTGACAAAAAGCAAGAGCTGTTTTCTTCCCCCTTGTTTTAATCATGTATCACTTTCTAAGAGCAAAAAACCCTGGAATGTAAAGCAGCTTAATGCAAATACACATTCACTCTCACAATACAATGAAGGAAGAACTACTTATAGGCACAATATATAACCTCCATATCCTACATTGACTTTGACACTTTCTAAAACAGCTTTAATTTAATTCATTTAAGAATATAACATGAAAAATATTTTCTAAAATGTTGTCTTAGTAAATAGTTTTGGATTCTAGGACAGTCATCGTAAGAGAGAACTGAATGCTACAAAATAGAACAGTGTTGTCAAAGTCATAGAAAGGATGGAATGTATTTTATATAAAGCCTTTAAAAATAGAAATATAAACCAGGTTTTTTTAAAAGTTGGTGGTGCCAGAACATAGCATTGCGTATTTTTCCCTGTAATACACCAGAAACTGAGAGACATCCCCTCAATAGGCACTGGTAAAACCAAACCCACCTGACTGGAGATGTCCATTGCGGCATGCCAGGTTAGTACTGTCATTACAGACCTCCATTTGCGGCTTGGAAATTTGCAAAACTGCCTGCAGCTTCTCTACACAGTAGACAGAGGGGGAGGGAGGAAAAAGGAAAAATAAACAAACAAAAAATAAAAATGAACCAAGAAAATTTATGTATGTTGAACACAGAAATGTCAAGTTTGGCTTTGTTATACTTGATACCGTGTTAAAGATAAAAGGACTATTTCTATCTATTCTACATGTTTAACAAATTTGTAAGAAAATTCTGTCAGTATGAACATGACTGAAAATAGCTTTAAAATTAGCCATTTATGGCCGAGTTAATTACAACAATCTTTCCAGTCCAGTGATTATAGTTACTTCCAAAAAAGCAATGGTCAGGATGAATTCAACTTCATTTACTAAATATTTGTGTTGATAACCCATTTCTGAAAGTCCTCCCCAAGGTCTTACTTCTGACCAACTGCAAGGAGTCATCGCTTGCCTGCAAATTAAATGTTCAACTTAGTAGTAACAGCCAGTCGATATTTTACAGAAAGCTCAACTGTTCAAGCAAAACATCATATATTACATTACAATGATGTCTTTCAAGATCTCTATTTAGAAATATAATTGCCTTGAAATTAAGTCAATAAAATTGTCATGCAAGCCTTTAAGAGGATTAACTTCAGAAACATCTGAATACAAGATTTGTAAGGTTAAAGATTAAGGAAAAAGAAATTAAGTTGTCATGATAAACTAGCCAAAGCGTAAATCAAAGAGGCATAAGGCTGCAAACAACATAAAACAAGAATTAAGTCTCAGAACTGTATGTTCTCTGCAGCTCACCTACCACTCCTGCTTTTCCCACTGCAGTTAAAAACCTCTAGGCCTTACTTTTGGGGTGCTTCACAGCCTCTCACGCCATTTTTACACACCCCTCTTTCTGTAAAAACAAAACATGGTTTGCAAGGATGCAAGGCAAACACTGTAACACTCCCCTTCCTTTTCTTCTCCCCCAGGAGATAACAGTACCAAGAAACTGCAGGAGGAGAGATGGCCAAGCAGAGGACCAATGTCCTCAGGCAACATGAAAGCACATATTGCAAAAGCAGCTGAACTCTACTGAAAATGTGCGCACCCATGATCATAAATGCCCTGACTGGAGGAATAATTGCCACTCAGAGCTTGCAGATTGTACCATCAACAAGTATAAACACTTCCTTGCTTCCACTTTATTACAGATATTTTTCCAGTCTTTCTGCTCCATTCCTTTCTTCTTCTGCCCACTCCTGATCACTCAGCTTCCCTGAAAAGTATCTTTAGACTCAATAGTTTTAAGTAATGGTTTAATAATAATATTCAGACTGAAGAAGGTTCAGTTGAGTGCAAACTTAATAACCACAGGCAAATGTGAAAAGCTGAAGTTCAAGATTAGTATGTGCACCCAGAGTTTTTGTTTTATATCGAAAACATTGAAGAGTCCGGTACAGTAAAACAAAAAAAATGTTAGTCACACAAGAACAGCCTGCAAACAACCACAAGCTTTGCAACTTCTTGCAAGAAGTTACACTAAGAAACCTCCCTCTAAAGAAGTCTAAGAAAAGTCCTTTTACTATGACTGACTGTAAACTGCTATTTTAGTGGGTGCAGCACTATTGAAGGAGAGAGCAGAGTAGTCTACTCCCTGCCCAGTGCATGAAATCTGAATGGAAAGTACATAGAGAAGCTCAGGAAACAAAATTAGTATTAAAAGACTTGGTAAGATATTAGATAAGCAGTTAAGTTTTGGAGAACATTTCTGAACTTTGCAAAAAAACCTGGTAGCGAGTGACCATAATAAAATCAATTGGCTTGGGCAGGAATTCAGGAAATAATATTTCCTTCAACACTATAGTTTGAGACTGGGGTTTTACCATAGTTATCAATGGCTTAGCAAGTTTCACATATTCTGGAACTTCAAAACTGCAACAAAAAACCCATATGCCAACTGTAGTCCAATTTCAATTCACACACTGTCTTCCTATCATATTACACATTAATATGTCATTTTAATATTGCACAGAAAACTACATAAAGCAAATATATTGTTTTCCTTGAGAGACTGAGTAGCCTGTGGAGCCCTCTGGAATAATGAAAATAAATTGAACTGTTAAATATTATTCCAGGGAATTAACAGGACACCCTACCACCTTCAATTTGAATGCTTTCTCGCTGTGTCTCTAGTCATTAGGGAAAAAAACAAGTTTACAGAATCTCATTCATTATTTCTACTTGATGATACAACACTGACATAAACCTACCAAATAAACACCACTGCAGCTGTTGTCTTATTTAGGCAATACTAGACCTTGAGTTCAGGGTAACTGATTTCTAACAAAAGAACCACTGCCCTAAAACACAAGCCTGAAGCAAAACCACCATGATCTCCAGAAAAATGGAAGAATCCCCAAAAGTGTCCACTGAAGCTCCTATCTATAACACAGGCAGAATTATTATCAAAGAGGATGATAATTAAAGTTATTTTAATTATGTGCCATGTGCATATTTCAACCAAAATACTGAAGCTATATATAGTACACAGAAAACCACTGGTGTCAACAGAAATCTGTCCCCCTACAGAAAGTCTCTCTGAAATGGGAGAACACAGACGACTGGTACAACACATGTGTAGCATTAGAACCGAATACTGTTGCACTGGACATTGTGGTTATCTATAGGTGCAGCAAACTGCTGAGTTTTATGTATCTATTGTAGAAAACAAATATCCTCCTGTGATTCTAAATATACGAAATACAACATTTCCAACATGAGTGATCAGTCATCCAGGAGAGATCAGGTCTATCAAGTCCATCAGAGCAAGATTTACCCACTCATCTAAATAACTGCACAGCTAACACAGCGTAAACCATGTCAGAAACAGGGGCTGCTACCAATTTAAGTGGTAGAACTCAGAAGTCCCCTGACAGCTAGCACAACTCATTGTCACTGGACTGCTGGAGTTATTGAATCACCTCGAGGTGCTCTGAAACACACCTGGAGTAGCTTCAGCTTTCAGGCTGTGTCATAGGACAGCTTTAAACAGAATATGATATTGTCTACTTTAAGTCTGTTTTATTTTGCCAGCTAATGCAATAAAAGACTTGCCTATTCTCCCTTAAGAAATGGAGAAATTCCACAGGAGTAGAAGAAAACACTTACTCCTTGATCTTAAGAGTTAGATTCATAGGAAAGATCATTTTATTGAACCTTAAGAACTTGAAGAGCCTCAGGTTTAGCTCAACTACTAAAGGATCCCTACATCACTTAAAAACTTCCAACTATCTGTTACTACAAGTAACGTGCTAAAAGTTGTATTTGTAATTGCACATGCAATTCAACTCTAGATTACATTAAACTTCTACAAAATTCATGTAAAGTAACATATAAAGTAATAAAAACAGATGTCAATACTTGAAAGCTGGTTAGGTAGCATAACAAATAGTACCCAAATAGATCCATAATGATCAAGCTTGCAGGGATGTAAATCCATTGCAGTACCTCTCCACACAACATCTTTTTTCTTCCTGAAAAGACTGATGATCTCACTTGCTCCTTTCTACCCAAATTTTGCTCTCAGGTACACTGTTTGAGGCAGATCCTTAGTGCAAACTGAACAAGAACCTAAGCAGAACAACGTACTAAACTGACAATTTCAAAGTAAAATTCAAATAAAACCCTGTTTGACATCAACTTAGGCAATAAACACTAGTCTATCCATTTACCCTTCAATCTGCACTCTGAATGAAGAATACAAGTGAAGCATACAAGTGAAGTGAATACAAGTGAAGCAACTTATCACACATTCTGGTAGTGAAGATAAACATACCAGCTTGACTGTAAGCTTTTTGCTATGTTTACCCTTTTTATCTTTTCAGAGCACAGCAAGTAAAAAACTTAGCAACATCATAAGTGCTACTACAATAACACAAGTAAGAACAAAGCACTTCCCACAAAATACAGGCATTACTACTGCAAGGCTCAAAGAACAGCAAATTTTTTTAAAGAAATCCTACTTACTTACAACTAGGCTATCAGCAACCAGCCATACTTTATGAAAGATCCTTAGCATGTAATCACTTTCATTCTTTTGTTCCCTAGTTTGTGTTATCCCTAGAAGTCAGCCTTTAACCCTAATGAGTAGAAAATCTCTTTTCTGCAGATACTAAGGTTCCACCCACAAATACCCATAATAAAGCATAGAAGCCTCTTTCACCCATGTTCCTTCACTTTTTTTTGAAAAAAAAAAAAAAAAAAAAAAAAAAAAAAAAAAAAATAGAGCCAAGGACACCAGGAACTCAAGAGAAACAAAAGGGAGTCACTTCCTTGTGGTGGTCACAACTTTCTTGTCAATCAACAGTTAGGGCCACAGAATCACGAAGTAGAAGAGGGGAAATGAGCATGAGTTTTTGTCTGCTCTACATGCTCCAAGGAGATGGAGTTAGTAAGACTCAAAACAACATAGTGCAAGACTAAAGCTGCAGATACACAAGTTAAACTCAAGTACATTTGTTAGTTGTCCCTCAAAGAGCCATTAAAAAAAAAAAAAACAACTTTCTTTTTGTTTTACTGTCTGAACTGAAAGCATTTTCAAAGCTCTCAATTTAGAGGACGCACTACACAAAAGATGTGGGTTTGCTGCTCGATGGGGGGGGCCTTTATTCATCATGCACAGTAAGATGCCATTTCCAATCCTGCCTGTTTTACTCTGTCCATTAAGAGCTTATATACAACACTTAATTTTGATAAAGCTAAAATTATACAGCACTATGCTTCTGAAAAGAAGTGATCTTACCTGCTAATCTTAAAATAGAACACTATTAGATAAAAATTACAAGAATTAGGATTTCACAACATTATGGTCTACATAATGCTGAAAGATTATTATTACAGTACATACCAATAATCAGGAAAATTGTTATATAATTGACAGCAGAATTAACAGAACTTGAAGTAGTTACACTTACAGAAGGCACACAACACTCGTGGTTAGCAATATCTCAATAAGTTTTACTACAGTTCTAACACAAAAATCCTGAACTAACTACAAGAAGAGCTAGTCAAGACTTCCTCATTTTATGAGTCAAGCATGCTAGAATATAAAGACTTCTCAGTTACTTTTATACCTATTTCTAAAGGCACAGGGAAGTGGATCATGAGATTCCAATTTCAAAATCCATCAGCAGCACTGAAAACATATTACTTACTCTAAAAAACTAAAATCCAAACTTAAAGAGACCCTACACAGATAATGATTTCACTTTAAAAATCAAAGTAATATTTTAGAATAATGCATTACATGAAGTGGTGCAAATAATGACAAACTTTCCAAAGTCATGAATTGTAACTGGTACCTAAAAGCTGCAAGCGATCCTTGGCCATTGCCAAATTTGTCATCATTTTAGATTGCAGACGTCGAGCCCGTTCACACTGATCACCTTACAAAGAAAAATCAATGTTAAAACACAATTCAGCAAATTAACTTACTTTAGTGCTAAAATACTGACACCCAGCCTTCCCTCCTCTTCCTCCCACCCCTTATGTACCCCCTCCACTAAGGAACACTGTAGCAAAACTAATGATAAAATCCTAAACCTTTCTTTTTAATCAAGAATTTAAAGTTAGTTGACACTACCTGCTTTACAATACTGCTCATAGAGGAGTGGGAAGCCAATCCTCACTTTACATATTCTCTAACATTTCATGCTAACCTAATATGTGTTCTTTGTCACTGTGTTTTTCTAACCAGAACTCGAATAAAAAAGATTTTTTAAAAAGCTTGAAAAGTGACTGAGAGGCAAGTACAATTTGAAATAATTCACTTTGGTAAAATTAACAGATTTAAATTCAGTTGACTGTGTCCCTTTACATTTCAAAACACACAATTACAAACATTAAATATCACCACTGCCTAAAAAAAATAATGTCTATTAGAGGCTTTTTTGTTTGTTTGTTTAAAACTGTGCAACTTAGGTTGTATCAAATGTCACTGGTATTGCTGTCTAAGTAACATGTCACCATATACTGTTCGCAAACATTTCTAAACATAGCTAAGGAACAAAACAGCCATCTGCAAAAGCAGTTAGAGGCTTGGGTTATTATATTATTTTGAGGACAGAAATTCTTAGCAAGTCCTTCACTACACCTATTTCTCTACAATACATCCCTGCTTCTACACTACAGCTTTAAATGTTTCCATATACACAGATGGCTTTCTTCCTCTGTTGGAAACGTCCAGCTATTTTGGCGTAAACTATTCAAAAACACAGCGCTAGACCATTCCCAACTGAGGTGTTTCGTTTTTAAGGTTATACTGAAGAGAATATAAAATTCTGCAAAAGTGAGAACACGAACTGTCAATGGCAATTCAAATCAGAACTCAATATTTTGGCATTCCCATTATATAAGAAATCAAGTATTTTACTTTAGAATTTTCATTACCTGCTTATGATTTTGCATAGTCTGAAATTATCTGGAGAAAGATTTGCATGTGTTACAGACCAGAACATTAAGGTAGAACAGAGAAATGGACCAGTGTTCACCTACACCTAAAACAGGATAAGAAACACTCTGACGAATTAATTGATAGAGCAGACCATTCCTAGCACCTACTATATTTAGCAATATTGATTCCTCACTTTGAAGACGCCATAAACCAAAACCTTTTCCACAAAACTCAAAACTGGCTTACCTTGACCAATTACTAAGACAGCTATTCCTTTTTCCAGTTCTTCAATTCCTTTCTTATACCATTCAACAGCTTGTTCCTTTTGTCCTGCTTAAAAAGGAAGTGAACCCATTATTTTCTGTAATGAATTAAAAGCTTAGGAATGGTTCCATATAATGCTGCATAAAACAAGTAAGAGGAATGAAGAGATATTTGAACAAAACCCTATGATTTAAAGTAGCACTTAAAGGGACACTGTCAACTTGATGTCTACTTAGTTTCAAATAAGCTTTTCTATTAAAAACAGGTACTACACCAGCCTCAAATCACTTTTGCCTGTTTTAAGAATACTTCTCCATCCACCTTAAAGAGATCAATCCCGTAAAAACAAAAAAAAACCCCCACACACACACAAAAAAGAAACACAATGTTAATTTTCCAGTGACAGCCAATACCAAAGTAACACGAGGAACACATAAACTCAAGAAGAAAAGTGCCAAGTCGAAGATACTACACGAGTGAGACAAGAGACACTTTCCCTCTGGTTAACTTGCACAGAGCAGCTCATTTGTCACTGGGGTATTTCTTTGTTTATCCTATCACAAAACTACTGTATTGAAGGTGTATGTCAACTTTCATAAGCACAATAGACAGAATTAGAGCACATCTCTGTACCACAATGTCCTAAATGGATATTACAGTAAACACAATCATGAACATGCCTACGCCTAACCTATACTATCTGACACCATGACAGCAAATAACCCCTTGAAGAGATAGTCATAGCTACTTCACATTGCTCCCTTTCTATAAATACTCTTCCTTAAAAAGATACTTGCCTGCATATGGAAAGGTACTTTTGCAAAATAGCTATATCACATAAAGCATGCCTTTCCACACTGGAATACAGAACATTAGGTATTACAATTTAAACCTGAACAACATTAATAAGCTGCTAGCGCTAGAAAAAAGAACACCTAGAATGACACCTTCAGATATCATTACCCTAGTTTCAGAAGGAATTAACATTTCACATAACTATTCCTAAGTGCCAGATACCAGTGATTGTGTTGTTTCTGAAGTTACGTTTTGATAACTTCAGTCCCAAACCCGTTTTCTAACCAACTTTAGTGCCAGTAAAAATATTTCAATACATTTCTAGAAACCTCATAAGGGTTTTCTCTTGCTCCCCTCAGATGCAAAATCTTTTAATAAAATCTGGCAGGCTACCCTGTGCAGGTAATTTCACACCTTGCTCTTTTTACCGACATAAGCCACAGGAGCAACACCCTCCTACAGCCATGTACACCACACACCTTGGGAATAATTTTATTACTGCCCTTTCTCTGCCAGCCTCATATATCCTGACTGTTAAGGACAAAGCTAGGTAAATTAAATCATCAAAGCTAAGTGACTCTGATCCTCTGTGCAGCCTTTTTTTCTTTAAGCTTCTCCCCATCACCTATAGAAATAGTTGACTGCAATGTAAATCTAATGCTGATTATGGCTATCAAATCAAATTTGAGATTATTCCAGCCACCTCTGCTATTGCCTGCATTGCTTGGCTGTTCTGAAGAGCAGTTGCAAACATTCATGATTAAAATCTCACTTCCACTTTTCAACGGGAGAAGTTTTAAAAGCTGTATACCACACTGTGCTGTTTGCACAGGTGGTGATCTGAATCTGCACAGAATTATTTACTAGTTCTCAGTGATTAAGACATTAAAAGTACAATTAAAAAGTCACATTCCTTAGAAGTCACTGATTTCTGTAGTGGGCCTGGCTGAGATGGAGTTAATTTTCTTCATTGCAGCCCCTGCCTTGCTCTGTTTTGGATCTGTGACTAAAACAGTGTTAACACACCAATGTTTTGGCTATTGCTGAACAACTTGCACAGCCTCAAGGTTTTCTTTTTCCCCCTCTAGATGCCCAGTGAGTAGGCTGGTGGCACACAAGAAGTTGGGAGGGGACACCAGCAGGATGACTGACCCAAACCGGCCAAAGGGATATTCCATATCCTGCAGTATCATGCTCAGCAGTAACAACTTGGGTAGAGGAAGAACAAGGTGGGGGGCTGTTTTCCAAGGCAGCCATTGCTCAGAAACTGTCTGGGCACTGGTCAGAAGTTGCCTTTGCATCACTTGTCTTCCCCCCACCTCCTTCCTTTACTTATTAACATGTCTTTGAACCACAAGTTTTCTCACTTTTGCTTTTCATATTCTCTCCCCTGTCCCACTGAGGGGAGTAAACGAGCAGCTATGGAGGTGCTTAGCTGCAGGTAGGGGGCCAACCCACCACATGTGCCTTCAGAGTCTCAGGAAGAGATATTAAGCTTGAAAATATCAAAACAAGGATATTATTTTCCCCAATAATTCAGAAGCATAAAAATTAGCAAAAGTTCTGTCGTAATTACTAAAGCACACATAGGTTCCAGAACATCAAAAATGCCAGGTATTTAACAGTATATTAAGACAATCCAGAAATCCTAACCGCTTCCCAAACTATGCCTAATAAATTATTTTCTGTTGTAAGTTATTAAAAAAAATTGTTTACGTATCAAATGAATTCAAAGGTATGCATGTATTCCAGTAAAAACAGATATGCAAATAACAAACCTATGTATTAAAGTGAGTTCTTTCTCAGTGAAAGGAATATTGCATTTGCAGGGTTGTAGCAGCTTTGCAACTGCTTATATTACAAGCAAAGGTTTTTTTTCTTACTAAATGTACAACCTGTGCAGCTAATTCATATATGACAACTCTAAGAATATCTATAAAGCAAGTGCATTATTAAAGTCAGTATTTGAAGGCTTACCTTCTAAACCACCAACCGTTACAAAGCCACAGCAGTGGAACAGGCACCTGATAATTTAAGACAGCTACTCAGAGCAACCATCAACAACACTGAAGTCTTAAACTAGCTCACCTTCTTTCACACTTCGCTCCTATGACCCTCAATGCTTTAATACTGTAGATCTGTTCTGAACTAACCTTGCTGCACATGGCAGGTTTTTTTTCCTCCCAGAGCTTACCACTGCCACTCCCAAATTGTCAATGCAAAGCAAGACACATCCTTCGCTTTTATGGTGCTCTCAGCATGTAGTTTCCATTGAAGGTCTATTCCTATATTTTTAACCACCTCCTCTAGAATAGCAGTTTCACTAAAGCTCCACTGAAAGGATATAATAAGTTATTCTGATGTTTCCAGAGAATTTTAAAACCCAGCACAACATGCCCCTTTTGGATGCTGACAGAGTTGTGCTGCTGCATTTAGACTAAATGGCTAAATCAAATGCAGTATCAACTGCTTTTTTTTTTATCCTCTAGACAAAAAAAAAAAAAAAAATTCCTCTTGCTTAAGGTCTTCTAGTCACACAGTGATAGGTG